GTGTGTGTGTGTGTGTGTGTGTGTGTGTGTGTGTGCTGGGTGTGTGTGTGCTGGGTGTGTGTGTGTGTGTGCGTGCCAGTATAATGTTTGTTTGTGTGTGAGTTGTGGTTATTGTAGAGGTGTGTGTGTTTCTAAAACACCTCAGGGGCTTGCTTCGACTTCATTTGAAGACGAGCTGGTTGCGGACGCTGGTGCCAGAGGCCCAGAGAGAGAAGGAGAGAGATTTGAGCCAAAGTTAGAGACCGATGTCATTGAGGGAAAAGTTATAGATCCCCCCCAGGACAAAACGTTTGTACTCGTTCGCGCCCGAAAGCTGTTGGCAAAACTTACGGATCCCGGCGAAAGGTCCCGCAGGCCCCCGAAAGACTGTGGCCAACGTTACAAAGCCCCTGTTCACCTCAGAAGAGAGCCTTCGGAGGTCTCCGACACTTCGGGGGTGCAAACTGGTGCAAACGTTTTGTCGCCGGTGGGATTTGAGATGTGAAGATCATCAGCATACCAAGGAAGACTGCGAAGATCTGCAGCTGGAGGGAGAGCGCCTACCAGTACGAGGAGGATTTCGCAAGAAAGGAGGATCTTTCTTCTGGCTCTCTGCGTGCGAAGACACAAAAGGGGTCGTTTGAGAGAGAGAGAGAGAGAGAGAGAGAGAGAGAGAGAGAGAGAGAGAGAGAGAGAGAGAGAGAGCAAGAATGGTCGCTTTTGTACGATTCGAGAGAGAGAGAGAGAGCGCAAGAATGGTCGCTTTTGTACGATTCGAGAGAGAGAGAGAGCGCAAGAATGGTCTCTTTTGTACGATTCACAGATCTGTCTGTTCTCCGGCGCTGACGATGATTCTTCCTGAGCGGCTGAGCCTAAGTGTAGCCTTATTTCCTTACCACTCAGAATGTCTACGATGGACAGAAGACGATCCCTTAATTAATTAGTCATGGACGCAAGCGTGGGTTTAATTAGCAGAAGGCTGAAGCGCTTGAACCCCCTACAGCTGGAGCAAACTGCTCTGCGTTGAGCCGTTCGGGTTCGATCCGCATCATCTGATTGAGCAGGGAACGGACAAATCTGCGAATCTTGGTCGAATATAGCTTTTAGGCTCTTGGCGAGCTCCCACTGCGGCGAAGGTAGGAGTCCGTAGGAGTCGGTAGGACCAACCAGACCAGGAGCCGGCGTATGGAACTTGATTATGAATTATATAGGAATACGTCGAAGGACAACTTGGACAAGGCTCTAGGTGGTAGGTGTTGCATTGAAATTTGAATACTGTACGTTTAATGCTTTTTGTATGTTCGATGCGTAAGATTTCGAGAGATTGTTTTATCTTTTGAGTAATTAATTGATCGCTTTTTGTTTATTTTTCCTCAATTGTTCTTGAGTAGTTATAGTGTGTGTGACTGCAGTCGCTCTCGAGTTTTCAACATTATATGCATCGAAGGGGTTTATGAACGTTTTATTTCTTCGTGGGCGGTCCATTATGGGAAGAGGTTAGTCTGAGAAGCTGGTGGGGATCTCAGAAGAGGCAATTGAGGAGTTCGTCGCGCGGATGATCGAAGACGCACAAGTTAACCGAGGCCGGAGGAGAGGGGAG